TGGCATCTAAAGAACCCACACAGACATGCCTTGGGCTGTGGAGGTTACCATTATTTTTTCGTGTATAAAACGCTGCACTTGTATAAGACACACCTGATTTTTTAACAAGGTGTTTGCAGGAAAAAATAGCGTCTTATACATGGAAAAATACGATAATTTTTCATAGCCACTAAAGCACAAACAACAGCTTGCAACCTGTCGACTAAATGCAGGTAGTGCTTGACTTAAGACAGTTCATTTAGTGACCATTCAAAGTTACAATGACACTGAAAAAAATGACATTTTTTCACACTTACGACTGTTGCAGCATCTCCATGGTCATGTGATCAGATGCTTGGCAACTGAAGGTTGCAGTGTCCTGGGATCATGTGATCACTTTTTTGAGACCTTCTGACAAGCAAAGTCAATGGGGAAGCCAGATTCACTTAACAACCATGTTACTAACTTAACAACTGCAGTTATTCACTTAACAACTGTGGCAAGAAAGGTGGTCAAATGGGCCAAATTCACTTAACAAAATGTTTTGTTTTGCAACAGAAAGTTTGGGCTAAATTGTCATTGTAAGTCAAGGACCACATGTAGGTTCTGCAAAGATTGGGGTAGGGAGTACCTCGCCTGTCTTCCTCTCTTTAGGTTTATTGAATGCTAACTCTTAGAATATAAAGTTGCAGTATGCTAGACAAAGGATTAATAAAGCATCCGGTTTTCAGATTTATCTTATGAAGGAGTGGAATTAATTTTGCATCATAAGCTTTAATTGTATCTCCCTGAACCTGAAGTAAATGTGAACTAAGTTCAAGTTTTGAAACTTGAACTTACATATCTAAAAAGCAATTCAAAACAGTTAGGAAAAGAGAACTTTTGCAACATCAAAACATACAACAACAATAACAAAACCCATTTCCCATTACCAGCAGACGTTGTGTCATTGTAGAGGAAATTGTCAACAAGCACTTTTAATGAAAACAGAATGGTAGTCACACATAAAAATCCGACATGGCCTAGGTGTGATGTGATCTGAAGCTTTAGAATAGCAGGGATTTGGGGAAGAATGCTAACAATAATATATACATTTTTTACATATAGAGAAAAAACTATTGCGAGACCATCCTGCACATGATCTTAGCATGCTGATCTTAGATCCAGCCTGAAAGTTACCTTGAAGAGTTGCTTTGCATCATGAGATGGGTGGCATATAAATTTAATTAACTGATTAATTAATCAATCTGCTCTACTATTTTGGCGATGCATTGTTTGGCTTTTTTTTCTTTGTTGATTTTGCATCCAAGGTATTCAGTTATAGCTGCAGCTGTGCTCCACATGAGTTTGCTTCTTGCAGTGAGCTGGCATTTATGTTTGATATTTAGTATCACTTTACAATGCCATGGTAAGGCCACACTTGGAATACTGCATCCAGTTTTGGTCACCATGATGTAAAAAAGATGTTGAGACTCTAGAAAGAGTACAGAGAAGAGCAACAAAGATGATTAAGGGACTGGAGGTTAAAACATATAAGGAACAGTTGCTGGAATTGAGTATGTCTAGTTTAACGAAGAGAAGGACGAGGGGGACATGATAGCAGTGTTCCAATATCTTAAGGGCTGCCACAAAGAAGAGGGAGTCAAGCTATTCTCCAAAGCGCCTGAAGGCAGGAGAAGAAGCAATGGATGGAAACTAATCAAGGAGAGAAACAACCTAGAATTAAGGAGAAACTTCCTGACAGTTATAACAATTAACCAGTGGAACAACCTGCCTCCAGAAGCGGTGAATGCTCCAACACTGGAAGTTTTTAAGAAGAGACTGGACAGCCATTTGTCTGAAATGGTATAGGGTTTCCTGCCTGAGCAGAGGGTTGGACTAGATGACCTCCAAGGTCCCTTCCAACTTTATTATTATTAGTATTAGTATTAGTATTTCCTGTTTTGTCCTATTTCTCACAGGATTGTTCCTTATTCTTGACAATGTATCAGTCATTTTTTAATCACAGGAAGACCAAGTTAGCCCTGGCAATTGCTTCATTAAAGTGGTCACTTTCAATCACTAATGATAAATGATTTTATTCTAGAATTATTTTCAGCTATGCTGAACCTGAAAAATTAGTGCGTGATGGCAATAGCAGAGGGGGGCCATTTTGATTAATGTTTTCAGTCACTAGGAGTTTCTTTGATTAATGTTTCTAATTCTTGAAGGAACAAAGAAAGCTATGTAGAGACTGATAAGAGAACTCGTTTAAACCATCAAGGATATTGACTTTCATTACTTGTAAACTCATCATAATATAAAGACCACGAATCTGAAGATGAGCATTAATAAGATCACTGCCAGGGACAAATAATCAGGAACAGGAGTTGAATTCAAAGCACTACGAGTTTATTCTTGCCATTTTACACAAGAATCTGTGCAACTAACAGTCCAAGCTAAATTGGCGCTAGATAAGGATAAATGGAATTCAAGGCGGGATGGACTTGGGTCCCTTGAGGCTGTATAATGACTCTAAACTGATTATGTATTCAACTGCACCCTCCAGCTCAGCCTGCTCATCTCCTACAATCATACTAAGAAAATGTCTATGGAGATTCTCAGCCATCCAGGTCATGGTTGTCCCAAAGGTGCTTTTTCAAAAGGCAGCTGGATTTTGTTCTTGCTTCTCATCCATGTTTCACTTCTCATCCCAGAAACGTTTTCAGTTCTGAATTCTGCTTTATTAAGATAGCTAGAAATTATGTTACAATAGTGTATTTCTGTTTATAGAGCACCAAGGAAGACTGTGAATGTTTAAAGGGTCATTCCTATGGGGGGGAAAACCACATTTTCATTTATTAATAAAATGTTTTCCATAAGCTATATTATTTCATTTTAAATACATTTGGAAGACTAACTTCCAGGATTATTGGGGAAGTAATTCTAAAATGCAAAAGGGGGTTATAAGGGAATTTGGGGTGTTGCAAATCTGAGTAGTAGGCCCCTTCTAACTTCCTAATCAAAATTTAGAAGGATGGGGACCAAGGAGACAAGAGATGCTTTGAACGGGGCTTAGATACAGACCTATATGTTCTCAGTTTCCTTCCTGTATCTGTATGTGTGCAGTCTAAGTGTCTGCATCTGATCACTATGGAATGACAGGCAGAATTTACCTGTCGCTTCTCCTCACTCCTCAGTCTGCTCAATTGTTTAGAAATGGAATTACAACACCCAGGAAAAATATCAGCTACATGAAGAATCAGGGCTGGGAATCACAGAAAGAAATTGTTTGCATTACTGAACTGATGTCACACTCTGGTTTCAGGAAGAATTCCATCTTTTGAATGCTGATCTAATTGATTTCAGTACACCCATATCCAGTGAACAACCTTCTGCATATAAGTATTTGATTTTTGACTCGGCTTTTGCATCACTCAACTTGATGGTCAGTTGTCTCTTACATTAGTTTCCACCAAAATATTTGGGCAAACAGTGGGCTCATTTAACAGATGAGGTCTAGTGAAATTCTTCTGGGTGTGGCAACTGCTGATTCAGCCTAAAGAGTGAATGGTGCAATCGATCTTGAAATAATCTTTGCACATAGCCATCATTTATCCACATGGAAATATCTAAATTGCTTTGGGCTTTCATTCCAACAGGCTATGGGAACTGCTGCAATAGCACTTACTTTGTTTTCCATAAGTACTTTGGGATTTCTTTTAGAAAAATATATTAAGTTTAAATGTATGATTTAGGAGGAGAAAGAAGTTATTTACTGACTGATTCTCCACAGCCCTCTCATTGGGCCTTCAGACCTCTAGTTTAGATTCTTCAATGCACTGAGACCCATGTTCTGAGCCTCTACATGTTATGCAGGAAACTGGAGGAGGAAGAAGCATAAGGTACATTTGGTACTTTGAGTTATTTATAAAAAATAAATAGATGGAATAATAATAATAATAATAATAATAATAATAATAATAATAATAATAATAATAATAATAATAATAATAATAATAATAATAAAAATATCCTAGCAGAGTATAACTTCTGGATAAGCAGATCCATGTAAACATTTATGGAGATTTTCAGTCATCCAGGTTATCCCAAAGGTGCTTTTTTGAAGAGGCAACTGGACTTTCTTGTTTTTCTTTGAAGATGTTTTACTTCTCATCCAAGAAGCTTCTTAGGCTCTGACTGGATAGTGGGGAATGGAAGGATTTATACTCCTTGCAGACAGTGAAAAAGCACCTTTGGGGCAGATCCATGTAGTTTCCTTGACATAATGTACAAATGCTTCAATCCCACCTTCTTCTGGGATGTTTTTCTCTTATCTCAGCCTAGCCCTGCAATTTCCCAGTGGTCTCCATCCAGGATTCCTCCTACTTAACTTTTCAAAATTAGTCAAAATCTGCTAGGCTACCTTTACTAACAGTCTTTGGATAGTGTAGCACTATTTTTAATAATTTAATTTAATTTAATATTTTATGCATTAAAATTAAGATGGGTAGCTGGTGTTCTTCCCACAAACTGTAGCATAGGTTTATTAAGATAGCTAGTGTCATGGTTCCGACTAATGAAACACTTCAAAGAACTTCCAGGCATTGTTTATCCTAAAAAGTCTTTATTTGTGCAACAAAATGTCGGCACAGCATGGAGGGATGCCAAGATCTGAATTCCCCTCCCTTCGGCACATAGTATCTGGCAAATTCCCTCCTCCACGTAGCAGTCATAATTACGTTCTCCAATCAGTTTGAAGGGCAAAGCTTCCCTTCCATAACGCGCCATTTCTTATCTTATTAAAAACAACTGGGGGAAACTTTCTTCCTCCCCCCCCCAGCATCTTCTAATTCTAAGAGCAAAGCAAAGGAAAGGAAAAGGCCGTCTCTCTATATTTGTCAAAGCAAAAAACATCCAATGTTTGCAGCGTTGACAACAGAAATTATGTTGCAATAGTGTATATCTGTTTCTAGTGCACCAAGGAGACTGTGACTGTTTAAAGGGCTACTCCCAGGAAGTTTAAAGAAATAGTCACGAACACATCCGGATTACTTTCCTGCCCTTGTAATCCCTTCCTTCTTCTCTAGCCAATGATCTCCGTTACCTTTGGAGGGGTGGCGTGTCAGGAAGCTAAAATGAAAGTTTTGCTTCTTCTGGCATTTATTGCAGCTTTGTCAGCGTTTCTGCCCAGTCAGACGTCTCCAGTAACTGCCCTAGAAGCCCAGAACTCTACCTTTTCCAGGTACAACCATCATATGTTTCTCTGTCCTGTTCTATTTCCTGCAGGTGCCACAGGTGAGATTGACAAAGCCCCGCCTTTGGTCTGATGGACAGTTTTCTGTGGCTCCCTTGGTTGGGACCTTGTTGTATAAAGACTTAGATGTTCTGGTGATAGAGCTGACTGGTGCCTTTGGCACCCTGAAAACACCTAGCTATAAAATGATGTGCTGCCTGGTTGGGATTCTCCATCCCAGTGTCCTGACAGGACTGCTGTTTTCTGTGAAGCTGTATCATTGCATTGACTGGGGGAAGTGCTCCCTCCAAAAAGCTGGCCGGATGAAAAACTTAATCAAGTTACTACTTTCCCACTCTGACTGATACAAGCTGGCAGGATGTTTCCTTCCTATTGCTTGGATTGGTGTTCTTGTTCTTTTCTAATGTGGAAGGTAGCTTTCAGTTTTTCCAAAGATTTCTTAACTACACTGTTTGCAGAGAGACACAGAAATTATCTTGAACAACAGAAAAATAATACAAATTCAGTGGAAGCCAGAGTGGGAGGCAAAATTAAAGTCTTATTTTTGGTAGTATTTATAAACCAACTCAGAGTCATAAATAGCATCTATAATTTCAGATTCTCCTAAATCATTCATTAGGTTAGAGTGAGATTATGCACTTTTCTAGAATCTATTACTTAAAAGACACATGTATCTTTTCTTTACTGAATTCCTTTTAATCCTCTTTCTGTTTGTTTCTTCTTTTTACCACATATATCTCTTTGCTTAATACTTGAGTCAGCCTATTTGTAGTAGGGTGGCTATGAAACAGGGATTCATCTGAGTTCACAGGCAGGAGTTGCACTGTCTGACTAGAAAAATGTCTACTTCTCTATTTTCTTCTAATTTTATTTTTTAAATTAGTATTCACAGTACCTAATATATGTAGTCTAATATGGTTCCTTAGGCAATACTGATGCATTCCGAAGACTGAGTAGGCAGTTAATGAAAAATAAAACACTACACAGTAAGATTGTCTATGTGAAAGAAGGGGAATATTATTAAGTAGTGTCATTAGTCTTTATTCATAAATTATTTAATATTAGTATGAATAGTTTTTAATTAATTTTAATTTAATTGCAGTTTCATCTCAATTCAGATCACATTTTTGTTCTGGGCCTACCTTTTTTGCAGTGGGGGCTTAAACAAAGACCACTTTCATGGGGGAATAAGCAAATCATATTCCTCTGCACGCCTTCAACTTTTGTCTTTAGGAATCTGTAATTATCTTTATTCAGTAGCTTTAGTTACTGTATTAGACTTGGCGTCCACCTGACTTTTCCTGACTCTTCTGCCTCTCCTTCTTCACATGGAAATGAGAGCTGCTTCTATAGAAAATGAGCATGACTGTATAGCAGTGTCCCCCTTTTCACAATCATCACCAAAGCAGATGTTCTTATTTTTGGAATTACATGTGAATCTGGAAGTGGGGTTCATAGTTCCCTTATTTTTTGCCCGTTAGGTTCTGTAAATTATATTACTTAAAGCAAGTAGAATAATTGTTCAAGTAGAGTAAAAAATAGTTACATGGGCGGGATGTTTTGGTCAACTCATTATCTAGGAGTTAATCTATGGTTTATTGTACTATATTTGTTCTCTAGGCTAGGAAACATGGACAGCCTTTCTGCAGCAAACACCACCTTTGCCCTCAACCTCTTCAAGAAGCTTAGTCCAAATGATTCTACCAAGAACTTGTTTTTTTCTCCATTGAGTATGTCTTCTGCGCTGCTAATGGTCTCATTGGGTTCCAGAGGTAACACAGAAGCTCAGATGTTAAAGGTATATCAAGATACATTTTATTAAAAGGGAAAAAGGGACTGTCTGGGAGCCGGTCCCCAACCTTTGCTAGCTATTATGAGAACATTTTATTTATTTATTAAGTTTATGTGATGCCCATTTTGCAATCATGCAACTTTGAGTGGCTAATCTATCATCTGGTCTAAAAAGTTCCAAGCACACCTATTGACTCAACCTGGCTACACTCCTAAGATGTTGCTATTCGTGCAATTGCCAAGTGTCTAATTAGCTTTTGAAAAATGCAACAAGCACAAGAGATGCCATTGTTATCGGGATTCTCTGCTCCCAATTCTCTTATGTGCCTTGGGAGTCAACCGGAGGGGGGGGGGTGTCAATAGGAAAAAAAACCTGCCTGAAGTTAAACAACATGTAGTGAATCCTGGGTAAAGCCATGCAGTAAAAAATAAATAAATGCGAACACCAGGATAATATCAAACTAAAAATCGTTTAATAAAATGCTGAGCTTTCGTTGGTCAGCACTACCAACATCATCAGAGCATAAGACTAGGTCAATGGGAGTCCCCTTTTTATAATACTGGCTGGTTTTGCGCACGGCTCCTGGACCTGGTCATCGGTCCATCCAACATCCTTAATTGTTTAACTCCTAGGAGGCACGCATTGGCTGTTCCTTTGGTGTTTTTCAAGGCCGCTATTCCATTACCCAAGGAGTTGGCTCTTTGTGATTTAGAAACCTTCTTTTCCAAGGGAAGGACATTTCTGAAAATTCTCCATCTCTCTTGCTTGTCAGTCAAATTTATTTTCAAAGGAGATCAATGACTAGGACTTTTGGGGACTTCCAGTTTTGTGCCAAAGTGCATGACCACAGGATAGCGGAGCTCCGCTTCCCAAGGCCAGTTTTGCCCTGCCAGGGGGACCCTAAATGGGTCTGAAGTTGCTCCAAAGAGGTGACCGAGAAGGAGGGGCGCCCTGTGAATCACGAAACAATGGCGGTCATTCCATTCGATCTGGGGGAAGCCCTCTGACCTGACAGGAGAAAGGCTAGCTGTACATCAGTGTCTAGCCCAAGCTACTTGCAGCTGAAGTCCAAGAGCACAAACCAGAACATCGGTGAACAGCATGCTTGGAACTGTGAGAGTATCAATCTTCTTTCTTCTACCTTTTAACTGAATTCTTGGGAAAGACCCCCAAAGCAAGAAAACCTCTAAAAGTGAAGGGAGGGGACTACACCCCCACTCCCTCATAGACGGAAGCCACGAATTAATACTAAGGGAGAAAGAAATATATTGAAATTAAATTTTAAATACTACAGTTTGGATAAATCTAGAAACTAAAAAAACTATTAAGACTATACCTTAAAGGGTTTCAATGAAATTATAAAAGAAATATAACAATAATAACTATCTGTCTGAAAAAAACTGGAAAATAACAACTACTGACACCTAGTGGAGAATCAGAGCACAGAACATTAACAATAAATGACTCAGAAATTGGCAAGGTGCCTAGAAACAAAGAATAATCTGTTCCCTTGAATTTTAATAATCTTCAAGAAGACAGCTGGGAACAAAGAAAGGGCTGGGCCAGCCATAAGATTAAAAAGTGTCTGAAAGAAAAATAATTAGACTGTTGTCTAAACTTAAGAATTGTTTACAAAAAAAGAAAAACTTCGGCTCTTGGCTAATCTTTTAGAGGAAAATTTGCAGGAAGGACTTAAGGTGGCTAAACATACTGAATTGCAACTTTGACAGATTGATAATTGACCCCTGAATAAAAAAAAACTGTTACAAAATACTGCTTTCACTGAGGCCTTAATAATTGGAAATATATTGAACTACAAAAAGCATATATAAAGATAAGAGCTATATGAGATTGGGTTGTGCAACTCTGAGACTGATAGGTTGGATAACTAATTCAGAGACTAAAATATTGATGAAAGACTATTTGAAGGGGGGAGACAACATGGACATTGTACACTTATCAAAAAATGACAGGACACCACACTCAATATTTACCCCTGAAAGATCTAGCCTGGAACATCAAAGACCTCCAGAAGCAATATTTCAAGGCAAGACAAATACTTTCCAGGAGGAAATGTACGTAATGTTACGACAGGTACAAATGACAATAGATTTAAACCACAAGGAAATCAGAAACAACTTTGATGACATAAATAAGCACATCTAATTTAAAGCTACAGTAAAAAAAACACCCAGAAAATGACTGAACAAACAAAGTGAATGAACAAACAAATCAGATAATAGAACACATGATAATAGGTAATAGAACATGATCAAATCAACAAAGCTACAAACAATTTAATACAAATACAAAAAAAATCTATAAGACTTTGACATAACAACAAAAATGGAATGGACTATAGAATTTCCAGGTGAATCATCAGAGTTTGGGAGACAGAAAGTATATATTTTACCTATTCTATCTTCTTTACTCCCAACAAAACTTACAAAAATGCAGAAACTGAGGGTTAGCAAAATATATCAACTTGGAAAGCTACTCAGCAAAAGAAGAAGGCTAGAGACAGATTCAAAAGATTCGACTCGCCCTTCCAGATGGAGTATTACATGAGCAAACACTTGTTTGAATATGGTTAAAAGAATAGAGAACTTTGAACATAAAGGGACCCTACAAGAAGAGGGATAAGAGATTTAAGTAGTATAGTATGTTTTACAATATATGAAATGTAAAAATATTGGGATGATGTAATTTTTATAAATATAAGTGAAATATAAGCTGTTCAGAAAGGATGTTATATGTAGCTGCTATAAGATAGGTAAGAAATACAGTATTTTTATAACGTATGAAATATGAAAATATTGGGATGGTGTACTTAAATGGAAAAATTTGGATATTTAGATGACTAATGTTGAGAAAATCATGATTGATAAGAATGGATTGAATATAAAGGGGAAATTAAGCTTAAATAAAAACTACGAAAATAGAATGCATGGTGAACTAATGAGATGGTGTCTATAAGAATAATATAAGCTGAAAAAAATTGTTATACATAGATGTTATCCTTATCTGTACAAACATGAAAAGATGTTTATATTTAATAATTTATACATTGAAAATATTAAGAATTATATCTGTTTAAGGTTGAAGAAAAAGAATACAATTGGGAGAAGGAAAGATCAAAGAAATATATTATTAATTAATATACTAATTATGGAATTATCAAAATTAATCATTATTGACTGAATTAATTATTATTGTCTTTTTTTCAAATATATAAACCAAGACAATACACTGTACACCAGGCACTGGAGATTGTTATTGTAAAAAACCAATAAAATATTTTTAAAAAATTGACTAGGATTTTCAAACATGGAAAAATCCAAACGTGTACAGTAAAGTCAAGACAACTTTTAGGGACTTTATGGACACCTATGCTTTCCTTGGCTACAGTAGGGAATCGGTTGCCTTTAAGGAAGGATTTTTTTTAAAAAAAAAAACCAGCCTACTCTGTAAGTAGGCTGAAGTGTTTGGGGTTCAAACACTACCCAAATACTAACTACGTCCAACTCTGCTTGGCTCTCATTACCTATACATCTGCTTGGCTTTCAACTTTAAAAGTTACACATCTGCAGGTAATCCTTCAAAAAATTGAGCTCCAAAATATATAGAGATCATTTGTAATGTGCAAGGTTTTGCCTTTGTTGTATTACATTTTGAATTGATTTTGAACATAATTTGATTGTCCATATATCATCTTATAGGTGCTATCTGTATCCAAAGATGGAGAGGTTCACCAAAGATTTGAGAAACTCATTTCTGAAATCAACAAACCAGGTGCCAATTATAGCCTCAGTCTAGCCAACCGGCTCTTTGGAGAAACATCATATGATTTTCTTGCAGTAAGTAACATGCATATTGGAGAACTGGCTAGAAACAACCATAAATACTTTGTTTGTTCCAATGTTTGCCTATATCACTGGAATTGCAGTTTGGCTCTTAAAAACTCCTATAGCTTTACTTTGGCCAACTGAGTTAACTGAAGGGGGAAATAAAAAGTCTAGCTGCTTTTACTGGGAATGTTACAGGAACACCCAGTAAGATTGTAGCATTCTAAATATAGAACTTTCAAATAAAAGTCATGAATAGAACTATGTGACCCATAATTGCCAGATATATTCTTGAATAAACTAAGTTATCTTGGGATAATTCCATAATGGTTCCTACTATCTGATATATTTTTTCTAAGCTGTATTAGCTATCCAATGGCACTGGCGGTTTCTAAGGTGTATTCAGTGTAATAAATAATGTTTCCAGATTGTTAATTCACAGAAGCATGGAACAAAATCAGTTCTTGCTCTTTTGTGTTGCTTCCATTACTGAGATGTCATTGTTTCTTAAGTCATTTCTAGAATCCACTGAGAAATTCTACCATGCAGGTCTGGAGAAACTTAACTTTAAGCAAGCTGCAGAAGATTCAAGAAGACATATAAATGCCTGGGTAGAAGAAAAAACCGCAGGTGAGAATGATAATAGAGTTAATTAGTAGTTGCATTAAGAAAGACATGCAATATTGTCCATGCATGTGAGAGAGACAGACAAGGCAGGCAGACCCACCATATTTATTAACCTTTATTTGCTACATAAGTGTCCATCAAACCTGTGATGAAATTCTAGCCAAGAATAGAGGCTTGATTCTATTGATGGACACATCTGAGCATATTTCAATTATTTAACTTGCCTGTTGTTTAACTTGTTTATGTGTGGTAACCTTACTAAATAATGACATAAGATGGGCGACTATATAAATGTTAAGGGAGAGAAGATGGATGGATGGATGTTGAACTGGCCCTGAGGAAGCAAAAGCTGCATTTCATCCTCAGTCAGAGAAGCTTTCTGGTGACCATCTTGAGCTCCTGAAGGAGAATCAAGATAAGAATCTAATAATTAAATAAAAATGTTTTTATTTTGGCTTACCTACAAACATGACCGAGAGAGAGAGAGAGAGAGAGAGAGAGAGAGAGAGAGAGAGAGAGAGAGAGAGAGAGGAACAATAAATCTTACAAGTGGATTCCTAAGACTTTTGTGCAACATTATGCCTATAAAAGTATCTATCAATTAAAGCAGTTTTTTTTTACACTCTCAAAAGGTAAAATTCAGAATCTGCTTGCCCCAGGAATAATTCATTCACTTACAAAACTGGTTTTGGTGAATGCTATCTATTTCAAGGGAAACTGGGCAAATCAGTTCAACAAAGATCACACAGAGGAAAGGCCATTCCAGATTAACAAGGTATTTATTTATTAACCAGGTAAAAGAGGCATTCTGAGTATTTTAAATTGCATTATTTTGCATATATGTGAAGCAAGTGTGGGATTAATTTGAAACATTCCTGTAGCAAAGAAATTGGTTAATTCTTACATTTTTATTGATCTTCATGGAAATAGATGAATCATGAAGATCAGTCATCTT